CTGTACTAAACCATTTCAGCTTTTTCCTTGAACACACAGCAAGAATTTATGCTACACTCACAAAAAGATGAAAGATGAGGTCCTTGGAGAGAAAGGCCTTTTGGCACACTACATGGTAAAGCTACAGATTTGACATACTTTTATAATGTCTGCTTTGGCAAGAACACAAAAACCCCACACAAAAGCGTGGTACGTCCTCCCAGACAGGGGTGTAGGGGGTGTCCTACTCTTGTGAGCATTTACTTTCAAATGCTCTCACTTCAGAGACTATTTTGATCGGTTACTTTAGACTAACAAATTCTCTTTTGCTACACGAACAGTTTGACAGTCAGACTACAATTCTCCTCACAGCCCCATCTAACAAGAGAGAATCTTTGGCTGGGGTCCAGCCAGAGCCTTAAATTTGTCACATCCTATTTCTGATGAATGATCTGCAGCAGTTTTAAGATCACAAAGTGCTTTGAAAGTTAAAAGAAAAATTTCACAAGTAGTAAGCTTTCACTTTCTTTATAAAGGTATTTAAACAAAAACTGCTAGTGGATTCTTTCTGCTTCTGCATCTCAAAAAAACGCCAAAACAATCTTTCAGCTGAGGTTAAAAAAATAGGAAACAGTTGCAATGCACTTGCCTACAACGTATCAAAAGACTAGAACTGGATTTCCAGAAGTGCTCAAGTGCTTAAGCAGTTATCATTTGTAAAAGAAACAATACAAGCTCTTTGTAATTTACTGTCTCCATTTCTGAGAAGTTTCACTGTTATGAGATGCCACGGTAAATACACAAATCACAGTGTCAGAAAACACTTTGATTCCTTCCTTTACACAAAGATTAGAAATATGAAAAGAGATCCAGGAAAACAGGAGTATTTGACACAAAGCTTCTCTCTCGCTCTCGAATTATCCCCAGTGTGCAACAATTCCAGTGAATGTGAGAAGACCCCGCACCAAAGGCACAGACTGACCACCAAAACTAATTCCTTTCACTATTGGTCAATGTTTTCCCTAGAATATTTCATTTCTAAAATCAAACCATGACTGTTTTTTTTTTTTCTGAAAGTAAGTGTGTGGGAGTTGGTGAGAAGCACCAGACTTGTAACTTCCTATCCCTGACATACTTACACCTGACACACAACACGGATTTCTCACTGGATAAATTCCATGTACTGTCACTGTAAAACGCAGACTCTGCTCTTTCTATTCTGGTTTGCTGCTTCTCACTTGTGGTGAGAAGGCTCCCGGCTCAGGAGCAGCACATCCTGCAAAGAGGGAGCACAGGGGGCCTGCAGGGATGAACAAGGAGCTCCTGGACAAACCAAAGACAAACAGGCAGCGTACAGAGGGTGGGAGCAGGGAAACCACACACACTGACTGAGCTTCAGCTAGCCAAGGGGAGCTCCCAGGTGCCACAGAAACCACAGTCACCAGGCAAAGGAATGGTTTGGTATCCCCATCTCCTATGGAAATACCTTTTTAATAATGAATTTTCATCTTAACACTCCCAGTCACAGCTGCAGCTTTCTTGCTTCACAGTTCTCAAAACAAAGACATCCCGTTTACTTCAAGTGACTCAGTACAAAAAATCCATAAGTTTCCAAGTAAGATCTGTGAACCCAACAAAGAAAAGCACAAACACAGCCTTTAGATACAACTGAATGCCAGAATTGTAAAGCACACCAAAGACTTCACGTGCCAAAAACATACAATGCTGAGCAGAGATGAGCACCACTGCTAAACAATCCAGAGGGGAAAGGACAGTGAGACCACAGCAGGCTGATCCAGGGATCATTTCCTCTCTCAGTTCCCACATTTCAGTGTGGTTTGGCAGAGTCCTGCCTGGATTGGAATAAAACAACACTTGCCTTTTCAGTGTCTTCAGTCGCAATGACTTTCTTCTCTTTGTACCTCATAAGTTTACCTTTCTAGAGATCAAACCTTAGGATCATTGGATAATTCAGGCTGGAAAGGATCTCAGGAGGTCTCCAGTTCAATCTCCTGTCAAAGACAGGCCAGGTGTGAGGTCAGACCAGCTTTTTGATGCTGTGAAGCTCGTGGGTCTTGAAAAGCTCCAAGGATGGAGATGCACAACCCTGCGAGTGCCCTGCTCTGATCCGTGACTCCTCCTGGGGAACACGTTCCCATCTCTTGATTCAGCACCTTGTCCTGCTGCCAGGTACCACCGTGGGGAGCCTGGATATCCCCTCCCAGAGAACTCCTCACAGGTGTGGAAGCTGCTGCTCAGTTCTCTGAGCCTCCTCCTTCCCTGGACCCAGCCCAGCACTTGTCTCCTCACCGTGAAGTGCTCCAGCTCACCGTCCTCATGGCCCCCCACTGAACTGGTTCCAGTTTATTGACATCTTCCTTGGAGCCCAGAACAGGTTTCTTCCTTCTGCAGTCGACTGTCTTGGTGACTAAGTGAGAACCTTCCACAGCCAGCCCTGGCCCTGCTGCCCAGGGCAGTGGGGGGGTCCCCAGCCCTGGGGGGATCCACAGGACGTGCAGACACAGGGCTTGGGGACACGGCCTTGGCACTGTCAGGGTTATGCTTGGACTCAAAGATCTCAAAGGTCTTTTCCAATCTAAATACCTCTATATGACAGCAAATGGAAAATGCTGTTTTCATCCATTTCAACAGTTATGAACCAAACAACATTTAATGCAAGGCTGTGAATTCCGTGAGCAGCAACATGACTCGAATGCACAACTGTCCGTGGGGAGTTAAGAACACCAGTCAGTGCCTCCCATTTCAGCAGGATGCAAGTGAACTGTGAAACATATTAAAGCTTTAAATTCCAGCTGATATTCCACACTCCCATGGCAAACACCCCTTGCTACTTTCTCACTTTCCCTCTTGCAGTTCTCTCCCCATCCCACCAGGCTGGGGGAGCGAGTGGCTGCGTGGGGCTGAGCTGCCAGCTGGGGTTAGTCCATGACAGCTCCCCAAGCTTTGGAATCACAAAACAGAGCAAGTTGTACCATCCCACAAGCCACACAATCCCCCACACCAGGACAGTCACAGCTTTGGAGCAATTCATTCTCCTCGAGACCACGTCAGAAGATTGATATCAGAATTAAGAGCATTTTAAGTACCAACAGCACTATTACATGAGACATGGACTTAAAAACCAGTTGTCTTAGTTAGTTTGGGGATTGACTAAACGGTGAGAAATAGTTTTTCAAACTCGCCTGATAATTTGCTCCTTATACACCTTTTATACATTTTGCTTTTCTTAACAGTAGCTGCTCCTTGCCAGGTACCACACATTCCCTGACTGCACAAAAATAAAACCTGATCCCTATTCCTGGGTTTCAGGCAAAGAACAGCCAGCCAAGAAGCAGAAGGAAGCTCTGTGGAGGTCTCTAGGTCTGCATTTCTGGAATGGTGATTTGCCTGGGACATGGTACAGCTGTTAAGTACAGTTGACACTGCAGAGAATCAAACAATTTGAAGCAAAATGACAAAGTATTTGAGAATACACAAATTTAAGGCTTCTGAGAATAAAGGGCACCTCTTAAATACAAAAATAATTGAATGGGAAAAAATCTCTTAAAAGAGTACCCAGAGAGAATGAGTAACTTCAGAATACATGAGTTGCAAAAACAACTTTTAGAACCTTTTTTACTCCCTAAAAAGAATTTCTGAAGATTTTGCACCTAAAAGTACATCCAACAAACCTAAAAACACAACTAAGTGAAACTCCCACAGAATCAGTTGGTTTATAGAACAAAATGTATACTAAATTCTCCAATTAAAAACCTGTAAAGTAGTTTCCGTGCTTTTTAACCCACCTTCCCACAGCAGGGAATTAATCCCTCCAGGGGGATGCAAACAAACTTCAAAGAGAAGATTATACCCAGACACTAGTACTGTACAATGTAATGTTTATGGTCAAATTTGTTCAGATTTTCTGGCACTAGAATCCAGGTCAGATGTGCAGAAACAAAGAGCAGTTATTAAAAGGGCTCCTGCAGCTCCCTGGAATAGCTGGGATGGCACAGAGCAGGAGGACAAGCCAGGCCTGTGCTCCAGCCCCAGCTCCCAGGGGGGCTCTGGCAGCACAGGGCAGAGCTGCAGCTCCCTGACTTCTGTTTGCTGTGACAAACTGCACAGAGCAGGAGGGAAGGGGCTTTCCAGGCACTGAGATACAAGAACTGTCTCTTTTGGTTCATTGCACCACATCTCCAGCACCCATGTGATCACTCCATAACTGACAAAAGAAATATCACTTCAGCATATGCTGACTAATCATAACTATTTAATGCTGACATCCCTCCTTTCTGTAGCATTCTAGAGACTGAACTAAATTCTGGGATAATGAATTTCAGCCTTTGCTTTCCCTGCCTATTTGATCAAGTTCCTCAGGTTACACAAGAGCACAGTCAAAAATTCACCAATACAGTCACGTGTTGGTTTCAGCAGTTATGGACATCTCTAGCATAAACACTGGAATACTCGTCAAAAACCATATCAGAGAAAAACACTTGTATAATTATGGCAGGACAACAATGTTTGGCAAAAACAGTTAACCAAATCACAAGCTGTGTCCATGTCTTATTTCCAGATAAAGTCACTTGATCGAAGAATTCTGGGAGCAGATAAAAATAATTCTGTAGACAAGTAAGAAAGAGGAAGTAAAAATAAATTCCACACAACATGTTTTAAGAGCATTTTTTTTATTTTTAACTACCCCTTTCTTACATGAGCAGCAAATACCAACCTGAAAAAGCACTTTTTCAACCTAATGAAGAAAGTTATTTCTATTTTAAAAGACAAAAAAAAGGGCAAAACAGTCAAAGAACTCTGAAAATTGCCCACAATCAGGGACAGAGGCAAGAATTTCTCTTTATTAGTCCTAACTGTACAGGATTCCACAGAACCAATGATTAGGATATCTCTAAGAGCTAGAACAGCATAATATTAAATATACTTCATGATCTCCCAATACATGGTTCTTACCATAGTTTCAAACAACAAACAGGCAGAATTACAGTGCAAAGCAGTACCTTTCCCAATGCAGCTGATTCCTGAGTGGGTCACTTCTGCATACACCTCAAAGGTAGTTTCTGGGTTTTGTCTGAAAGGAAAGAAAAGCAGAGAGCACACTGAGAATGGGGTTTAAGTGCACTCACCATTCCACAGTCACAGAGCACTCTGGGAACACACAGGGAACAACAAGAGCCAGGGAAACCCCATCCCTGATCTCACCTGTCTGAATGGGCTCACACAGAGACAGGTTAGTCCAGTTCTTGCCCACAGCAGTAGATTTTATTACATGTGGAACTTAGAAAAGCAAGTTTTCACCTCACCTTTATTTCCAAATGACAAATTAAATCGCCTTTGTGCTAAACACAGGGATTCTTTTCAGAAAAAAAAAAAAAATCCTGGATACTCTTTTCACCAAGCTGAAAACAGTCACATTGTCCAACAAGGAACAAACAACCCAGATTCACATTTTCATTACTGTGACCCTTGAGTTCAACTTCATGACACCTATTTGCCCAGGAAGAAGGAAAAATAAAGAAGCTGCAGCCAAGAGGAGGCGAAGTCATTTCATGCACACACTGCTGAGAAACTTAAGCGTTTGTATTTGGGGTGAAGACACTTCCCCTTCTTAATACCTGTCCAAATATTTCTATCTCTGTCCAAAAAAGGCCGTGCTGGACAATACTACAAATGCACGAGGTTTGGCCTCCTGAGACTCCAGGGCCTTGAATCCAGAAATTTGCCAGATGCAAGGAAATAGATGCAATAGTCAAAACCAACACCAAACTGAGCTGCAAAGCATAAATAAAGCTTGAGGAAAGAGACATACTCTGTGTAAGATTTATAAATACACCAGTACTAAAAGTAAAAAGTTGATGATATTACTTCAAAACAAACAAACAAGCCATTTAGTGTATATTTTCAGTCCTTACTAATATAACTCCATGAGAGATGCTCTGGAATTACATTTCACAGTGTAATGAGGATGCAAAGGCAGCAGGTGATTAAATAAGAAAGAATATTTCGAGTTAGTCCCTGACTAACAATTTTAGCTACTCCAGAAATTTGTTATGAGATTAAAGAGAATCACACATTACACTGTAATTGTTTAGTTACTGAAATAAGGATTTTGCAGGTCTGAACATGTGACACTTTATTCTTAGACTTTCTGGTTAAAGTCAAGAATCAAAATTGCATAATTACTGCTCCAAATTTATGGCTGTATAGTGATAATGTTGTCTCCTATGTGTTAATGCAAACGATCTAACATTAGAAAATTGCTGAGGTATAATTAACTTGTGAATTTTGTAACTCCCTTACAGCTAAGGACGAAAATAATGACAAGACCCACAAATACATATGCTAGAATTCCTAACTGAACAGTAACCTAAAAAATTAAACTCATCTTACCCAACATCTGAAACCAAACAGACAAACATGTCAAGGAGTTCAGCTTACTCCTCAGAGAATTTCTATTATTTTTAATCCTACTTTAACAGCAAAAGGGATTAAGGAAAACATTTCTAACCATGCCACAGGCCCATTTAGTCTAACTCAAGTGGCTCTAAGCCAAACCCCACACCTATTTAAACCGACAGAAAAGCCCCCACTGCTTTCAGTAGCACAGGATCACACTCCTCAGTTTTACAGAGCACCTCTCAGGAGCAACAATGGTTCACAATTCAATTAATGGTAATTTAATTTGCCACCAGTTCCCAACTGATTTGTCTTAAGTAGCTGAGTTTTTTTGGTTTTGTTTTTTTTTTTCCAGAAAACTACATTCGTAGGTTATGAGAAATCCAAAGTCAGCTGTTATTGTGCAATATAAAACAAACTTGCACAATTCTCGCTGTGCTACTCGAGTTGCTGCCCATAATCTGTAAATACTGGGGTTTAGCCACATTCCAACAATCATGGCACAGGATGAGGATGGAATGATATCCCATAGCCACAGAAATGTATTTTTCCTTTCATACATACTGCTGTGCAGCCTTATCATACCCTCCTTGTTTACGTCTTTATTTTTAGCACCCTGTTTCCTTAATTAAAAGTTTATGAATTTTATAATATTTTTACAGCTAATGGTTAAAATAACAAACACCCTTTTAGTATTATGTTGGAGCCCGTGCTCCAGTTCCTCAGTGAAAGCACTGTGTCACACAGCTGGCAGGAGCACAGACTACACCAAAACCTTCAGACAAAAAGACATTACATTTTGTATTTTAATTTTCCCTGACAAATGTCCATTGATTTCTCTGAACAGTGAAACTGAGGTAGCTTTGCCAAGTGAGAAACTCGGTATTAAAGGCTGCATTCAACGACCAACACCTCAGCATGAGAATGAAGCCATTGTTGGATTGGGGATAGTTTATAACTTTGCAGTGGAATTAAGGAAACAAGTCACTGTGAGACTTCATACAGTTTGCAAATACAGCATAAACATGATCATAATGTGTGTATTCTGCAGTCCATTTTTATGACTATTAAACTGACCTGCAGACATCTAATGCCACCTGTGCCCCGCACTGAGACCTCAGCCCCCTGCAGCCCTCCACAGCAGCAGAGCCCTAAACACACACACTGAGTTTTCTTTCCTCCCCCAAATCACTTACAGACCCTCAGTCACTTATCAAGTGAATATACAGATGCAATAAAAAAGAAAAAGCATAGGACACCTATGTACAAAAATACATAGTACCTCATTGTATTGGGTCTGCCTGAGATGGTCAACCCACCACACTCTTTTATTTGAGAATTGGATAATTTCAGGAGGAAATGCAATACTCCTTTGCAAATAGAAATTTAGGAAGGAGCTGTATGAGGAAATAATGCTTTTGTGATAAATGCCACTTGTATGAATTACTTCAACTCTCGGATGTAGAAATAACTTCAGTATCAAAGCAATCAGTAAGAAATACAATTTTAAGTTGAAGTAATATAATATTTCAAATAAAGTATTTATGTACCTTTCACTATGAAAAGTTTTAGTTTTTATCAAACTGTAAGAGATTTATGCAGAATAAAACTAAACCAAGTCCTGCTCCAAAGCTGTATGATAGAAGCACATATCTTACATACCTACAGCCTATTTCAATTCTGTCAGGAGCATTTTTTCCCAGTGTAATAGCACTTATGACAGAAAGTATCATTCTACTTAAAAACTGAGGCATGAGAGGAGCCTGACACTGCCTCATAATCAGTTGTCTTGTAACAAGATTACTTGCTCAACTCTCACAGAAATAAAATTATTAGCAGAAATCTGTACTGGCTAATTCAATTCAGAGATTGCAACTGAAGCCTTGATTAACTTCCATATATTTAACTTCTTCTGCCTGGTATTCCCTAGGGAGATAATATCCCATCTTAGTACATGGCAAACTTTCTGTTAAATATCTGAAAGCTTTCCCAGGTGTCTATGGGGTATCTCCTGTGCCAGCAGTGAGACACAACCACCCCTGGAAAGGAACGTGCCCGGCGTTGTCGCAGGGCGAGGAATTCTGCTGAACAGATTGCTACTGACACCTTATTTAAAACAAAGAAAGCAAGGATCCTTTCTGTCCTGGAAGGTGGAGTACAAAGGCTATGGAGCAGTGATACAGCAGGTTAATGAGGCTGCTATCCTATAGCCTATATCCTGTATCCTCCCTCCCTGGCTGGCACGAGCGCTGGCACCTTCTGGGCCACGCTCCTCCACAGATTAACCCAGCTCAGTAACCCAACACTCACACACCCACTGTACCTGCTTTCTCCCCTGCAGCTATACAGAAGCCAAGAGCTCACAGGACTGCTGGCAATTCCTTGATTTCTTTCACTTCAGTCTGATGCAGCCACTGATACTTTTGTCTGAGCAATCTCTCACTCAGATGACTCATAATTATGCACCCATCAGCAATCTCCCTGACAGATATGCCCGGGTTCCCTGCACAGTCTATCAGTGTGTGCAAGGGATCCCGTGCCAGGAGTGTAATAACCCTCACAGTTATCAATCTACTGCAAGAAGCAAGAGATCTGAGTACTGGTTTTTTACTGGGGCTCCAGCACATATTGGTGACACCCCCAAAGGAGATGTCCCTCAGCACACCCAATTATCAAACAGTTTTCTCACTCACACTCCCAACGTGCCCCAATAAGGGAGCTACTTACCAACTTTAAAATCTTCACTGGATTAAACATCCAGCTCAGAGAAGCAAACCAAAAAAGCCTCTTAGACAGGCTCTCTCATTCTTAATATACTTCAAGATTAGTTTGAAGTTTTGCCCTTACTCTAGCTGGGCAGTGTTCTGTCCAAAACAGAAAAAAGCAATTTATTAAGTGTAGCTTAAGGCAAAGTTGCTTAATCACTCAACGGCCAAAATGCCTTCTCACAAAGTCCAAGAAGAATGAAAAGCAATGTTTATCTGGGGTTATCACCTGTGTTTTCCTGCTGACTGGGAAAGACATGGGTTTTATCTGCAATCTTGAAAGACAAGTTCACACTGAAGGAATTTGCACAGAAAAAGTCCTAAAGTCCACTGGCTGCACTAAATATTCCTAATGGCTACGTCTCCTCCCTGACAGCACTTTCTGGTTGGAGCATCTCCCCTGCCTGATGGCATTCTCATTCAGCAAAGTCTACTCAAAGGCTGAAGTCCAACAAGCAATCACAAACCCAAAGATGGTAAACACAGCTTATGGATTCAGTATGCACACAAAACTCCTCTGCATTTAAAGTAAGTAACAACCTTTGAATAGCTTTAAGATAAGGTCATCCTAACATTTTGAATCATGAACTTCAAGTGATTCAAGCAAGGGTGACCACTGCAAGATCTGAAGGCACAGGTTAGAGATACAGCCTGCTCTGCTGCCAAAAATACCAGCAGTCTTAGACCTGTACTTGACTGTAAGAGTTTCACTAGTTTCTCAGGCTTTGATTTCTTTGTAGCAACAGCTGAGAACACACTTGCCAAAAAAGTGCAAAGCTAATGCCCACAGTATGCCCAAGGAAGGAAGGCTTTCTGGAACCAACCAATTGCCTCAGTGCCATCATTACAAACACTCATTATCCTCTTACATGTTCCTAAAACACCTGGCTGAACAAACACACGTGTATGTCTATCCAGCCCGTGGGCTTGGGAACACGAAGATGTGTCATCACACAAACTATGTCCCCTCTAGTCCTGTATTCAAGTTAAACAAAAGAAGGGAAAAGTTAAAGCTCCAGGTAATCTTGAAGATGACTGTGTTCAAGAAGGAAGAACAACTGCTCAACAGCACCTGCTGAAACTGCTGAATAAACCAGAACCTGACTGGGTCTCTCCCCTCTATCACCCTTTCACACACAGAGATGCCAGCACTCCCTGCTTGGTGATGGCTTCATTACACCTTTGCCTATCTCGGAGGAACTGAATTTTCCTGGAATGGCACATGGATGAACTGAGACCTTTAACGTGACAATACCAAACATACCAACAGGGCTTACCAATGAATCAACCACCAGCTTTTTGAAAACTAAAAAACCATTGAGAGCATGGATCTGCAGGCCCAACACATCCATCACTCGCACCACTCTTCTCCCTCCCCCAAGCCCCTCTGCTGATGCGGTCTGAAGGTCTCCCGGACAGACCGCGGTGCTTCCACGAGCGCACTCTGCCCTGGCCAAAGAGCTCTGAGCTCCCTGGACGCTCCACGCCCCCGGACCGGTGCCGGCCGTGGAGCTGTTCCCAGCGCAGCACCCTCGCCCTGCCCAGGCCCGCAGCGATAACGCCGCGCTGCGCTCCCCGCTCGGCCCCGCGGGCGGCGGTGCCGGGGTGGGTGTGAGGCACGGCCGGATCTCGCCCCTCCCGGGGCAGGGCCGGGGGTCCCGCCGGGGTCGGGCTCTCACGGCCCGTCCTGCCCGTCCCGGGGCCCCGCGGGCCGGGAGCGCTCTGCCCCTTCCCTGTCCCCCTCCCCGCCCTGCCCGGGGCCCGCGGGCTCGGCGGGGTCCCGCCCGCGCGGCCTCTCCCGGAGCGCAGGGAGGGCGGGGAAGTCAGTCCCCTTCTCGCTCTGCCGAGGGCCCGGAGCGGGGCCGCAGAGCCGCGGGGGGCACTCACTTGATCCTGGATCCCATGGTCTCCGGGGGGCCGCATAGACCCGTGCGGAGCGAGGCAGGGCCGGGGGCCGAGGGCCGCGCTCTGTCCGCCGCTCGCCCCTCACTCCATCCCGGCCCGCGCCGCGGCGCCCCGGCCGAGTCACGGCGCGGGGGCTGCCGGGAGCTGTAGTGCGGCGGGGCCGCGGCTGAGGGAGCGCCCGCGCGGGCTCCGCGCTCTGCTCGCCGTGCCGGGCGGCAGGAAAACCGGCAGCGGGCACAAACTGGTGCACGGCGAGCCCCGCCTGAACGTGGGGAAGAACTTCTTCCGTGTGCGAGTGACCGCGCGCTGGGACAGATTGCCCAGAGCGGGTGCGGAGTCTGCCTCGCTGGGGATGTTCCAGAACCGTCTGGACGCGGTCCTGTGCCACGTGCGCCGGCATGGCCGTGCTGCAGCAGGGAGGTGGGACCGGCGGAGCCGCAGGGTGCCCTGCCAGCCTGACCCATCCAGCGGCTCTGTGAGCGGGAGCACCGGGGATCCGCGATGGCAGCGCTGGGCACTCCTGGCCCGCCCGGGGCCGCGCTCCCCTCAGGGACAGTTAGGGGGGAGCCCCAATTACCTCATGGAGGTTTAGGCGGGACCGGCCTGCTCCCCTCAGGGACATTGAGGCGGGACCCCCGATCACCTCATGGAGGTTTAGGCGGGACCGGCCTGCTCCCCTCAGGGACATTGAGGCGGGAGCCCCAATTACCTCATGGAGGTTTAGGCGGGACGGGCCCGCTCCCCTCAGGGACATTTACTTGGGAGTCCCGATCCCCTCAGGGAGGTTTAGGCGGGAGTCCCGATCCCCTCAGGGAGGTTTAGGCGGGAGTCCCGATCCCCTCAGGGAGGTTTAGGCGGGATGCACCCGCTCCCCTCAAGGCTCCTCAGCAGCTGAAGGGCGGCCCGGGATGACTCAGGGCTGGGCAGGACTCGCCTCCCTGCCCGCCATTGGGGCAGAGTCATGAGAGACCCTTGGACAGGCCCTGCCAGCGTATCCCGAGCCCGGGATATCCCCTCATACGGTGCCCGGGGACTGCAGGAGCCAGACGAAAAAGGCGCAGACAAGAGCGGTGAGCGCTGCCCTCGCAGAGCTGCGACAGAACATTGTGCACTGCTTGGCACGGAGACCAGGAAAGACCTAGAAAGGATCACCAGCCCAAGCAAGGTCATGAAGGGGACTGGAGACTACTCAGAAAGTGCAGGAGAGATGGAATGCAGTCTGCTGGAAACACGGCTCGTGTTGACTCAAAAACCGCAGACAGACAGCTCGTGTTGGAGTTGGCCAACAAGAACAAACAGGTACCCAACGATTTTATCAAACATGTTTTACAAGAAGTTTTCAGGAAGGTTTGGAGAATTTCTAACATAATTTAGAAATTTCTAACTTTTTAGAGTTGGGGGTGATCTGCAGTGAGGAATGAAAGACCTGGTAATTTGGCTTAAGAAGGCCTCTAAACTGCAAATCACTGTGGAAGCCAAGTGCTTGGCTGAGGAGTCTGGTCAGCTAGAAAGATGGGAGAGAGAGAGGATATCCCGTTTGAGATACTTTAATATCCCATTTGCTCCCCAGAGAGGCTGGGTAGGAGAAATCATACCACCCTCGTTCAAGTAATAAATATAAAACATGTTAAACATTTATGCAAAAAGTCCTGGAGGATTTGTTCACAGTTACAGTAAGCTGAAGAGATGTTTGGGCAGATGAGGAGGAGTGTTTCTAGCACTAGTCTGAGTACTCAGGATGAGGTGCTTCCACCCACAGCTCTGCCACGGGAGCTGGGTGTCGGGTCAGCCCTCAGGGTTCAGTGGTGTGGATGGACCTGTGCCCTGTCCTGAATTAGTTTGATCTGGGCTGGTGTTCCCTGTCTCACACACCAATACCCACAACCATGTGAAGTAGCTTTGTAACCAAAATTACTGTGTTCAGACCATGAGTATTGTAACTCTAAACCAATCAGTGCACTAGGGGTTATACCTATAGTGGTCAAATGAAAGTAAGTTCGTAAAAATATCGTTAAAATTGGTTACAAAAGCAAAAAAACCCTATGGTCAGTAATGAGGAAAAAAATAGGGAAGCTGGTAAATACAATGCTGATGCGGTATGAAATGACAACATTTTGGGAGTGGCTGAGTTTCTTAAATTTCATCACCCTTTTTGGAACAGGGATTGACCTTAAATTTAAGAGGTAAAGCCACAGACTCACAGTTTTGGTTTTGCTCTGTTCTGTTTAGTGTGTGCTTTAAGGATTTGGTAGATTTATTAATATGAACAGATCTAGTGAATGTTTAATGTGGATGATGTAGTGTGCAAGAGTAGTAGACTGGTTTATATTTGATGGTTTTTAGACCTGACATACTAAGGAATAAAGTGCTGGGTGATTCAAATGAGCAATTTAAATCCTCTCACAGAGTAAATGAGTGGTTAACAAGTATGCATTCGCCCCAGCATGGGGGAAAAATAGGGTATAAAACTTGGATTTTGAGAACTGGACTGGATAGCCGAGGTGTGGGTGAACTGATAGTGGCTGATAGCTAACAAATGCCAGGAAAAATGGCTGCAAAATTAGTGTTTGGTAACTTCATTTAAATATGTCTCGGTGAAATATCTGTTTTGTAGGTGACTGATCCTGGATCTTGTGCAGGTGTGTGCCTGAACTTCTGAGCAGGAAGTGTTACAGGCACATAGGTTGTGTGATAAGCATGAGACAGTCAGTCTGAAAACAATATGATTGTGTGTTTCAAGAAGAGGATGACCTACCTCAAGCTCACAGTTAATAAAGAGGAGTTTGATTAATAAAAATAAGTGGGAATGTGTATGGAAATGATAAGGTTCTGTCCTTGCTGCAGAAGATGCAGTAATGGGTCTGGCAACACGAGCATTGCAAATGCATTCTGTGGAAACTCCAGTTTAAAAGAGTGCCTAATAAAACAGATGTGAGCTTGTAAATCTGGTAATGCAAGGTCAGAGGAAACCAGAAAGGTGACAAGAGGATGAGTGTCCAGAATTTATTCTAGTAAAAGGATAAAGCAGACTCTCAATATGGAATTTGTATGTGCACTCCACTTTATTTTGTATACATGAAACAAGCAAAGTCAGGTGTATTTCAGAATTCAGAGTACAGAACACGGCTTGTACTCTCCGAATGTCAATAATAAAATAGGAGCATTCATTCAAAGTTTCAACTAAATAGGTGCTGAATATTTAAATATTTATTCAAATCACGAAAACTGTATTTTCTGTGCAAAAGCCGACGGGAAAACAAAAGTGTTAAACATGATGTAGATGTTGCTGTTCAAGTGCAGGGAGTTCTTCCCTCTATCTGCCTAATTTGTGTTCCAAGCTGTGGAGTGGGTTTTTTCCCCTGCTTTACCTGGTGTCCTTATGTAAACAAGCAGCTCATTAGGTCCCCCCGGTCCCGTTTTGTGCCGTGCTGCTGGTGCCCCTGTCTGCAGGTGCCTGGTGGTCGCTGGTAATTGTGTCCCAGGGACAGGGCAGCGGGGACAGCGAAGCCCCCGAGGACAGCCCAGGGTTCCAGCAGTGCCTGCTGGCCTGGCCTGGGCTGCACTGCCTCAGAATAGATGAGCTGATTAACTCTGAATCGCCCTCCCAGAAGAGATGGAGCATTAATAGCGAACAAAAGGGAAGCAGAAGGGAAACTTCAGCCAGAAGAAAATAATCCAGGAATTAAAAGCTTGGTGAAAGCCTTAGGATGCTTCCAGATTGACCCGAAAGTCTTAGTTCAGTGCCACAGAAATAGAGGTCTGATACTGTGCACTCCAGGAAGGATTTGGGGAGTGTGGCTGAGCCTGTATTTTAATCTGTAACACACCCCCAGCAGCCAATGTACATGAGAACACAGTTACTGTTCCCTCTCCTGCAGTGACAGCCCTTCTGGAGCATCCTGGAACCTGAGTGTGCTGGGGAGATTGTCCCTGCTACAGCTCAGCCCGTGGGAGTGGCAGGGGGAAAATGCTGACTTTAGAGATCAATAGTAAAGCTTCATCTAAGAGGTTATGCCTTGAAAGAGAATATCCTGCTACCTGACTAATATTGATTATAATGTTCATGTGCGTTTTTCCTGATTTCTCAGTGGGTGAATATTAGGAAATATTTTATATTATATATTAGGAAATGTTTATAAACTGATGGAAAGCTTATTAAAGATATTTCCTAAATGTGAAGCAGAAATTATTCCATCAGCCTCGAGTTTGTAATTCTTGTGGTTATCAAACAATAACCCTCATGAGTTATGGATCAGGTCATTGCAGACATTGCAAGTGTTCACATATGTTGCTTTAGAGAAAAGCCTGTTCTTAATGCTCCCAAACTGGGATTCATCAGGCATTACTGGGATAGCTGGTTACCCTCAGAGACATTTATTTATGCCCTGAAACATGGGAGGTGTTTAAATCAGCCTATGTACCTACTTATATGGGTGGAAATGGACTACAGTGACTTGTTTTCCATCACAAGTTGAGAAACAATAATCTGTAGTGGTGATTGCACAGAGCGAAACCGATTTATGACAAATACAGAATAAAATAGAGAAACTGATCAAAAAAAAGAAGAAAGAAAAAAAAAATCCAGTTATAAGAGTTAAATCAAAAGCATTCTGTCTCCCAAACTGGAGACTGGCAGATGTTTAAGGAAGAGTGTAAGAATGTGGATGCACGTAGAATTCTCTCCCACCTTCCAATAAATTAATATATTTTCTCAGCCTCAAGTGCTGCTTCTGAGTAGCAGCTTTTGGGGGACTGAGCACTGTCTCCACTTGGACTTTGAGCCCAGCCACTGACCACAGCTCCATGCTGGCTGTCACCAAGCACCTCCCTATTTTTGCTGTGCCTTAGCAGAGTTTCCAAAAGTATGTGTTCCATGATCTTGCCCAGCACAGAGGTGAGACTGAGCATCCTGTCTCCCCATCAGAGGGAACTTTGCTGGATTGCCATGACTTCTGAAATATGGTGAATAGTGGCTCAGCAATGTTATCCAGCAGTTCCCTCAGGATCTGTGGATGCATCTCATCAGTTCCCACGGACTTGTGCACCTTCAGGTTCCTCAGATGGTCTCAAACCTGATCTTCTCCCCCAGCAGGTGGTTCTTCATCCTCCCTGTGCC